TCCCAAGGTTGTGGGGAGCTGGAGTGAGAGCAAATATCTACTACCCACTCCTTAATTTGGGGGGTCCAAGAGGGTTGCTAGAATGAACTCCTCCTTATTTCATAAGGAGGAAAACCTGTAGTGGAGTAGGTCCTTTAGCTTGTTGGTCAGAACCACCACTTCAAGCTGGAGAAAATGCTGTTCTCCCTCTGTGGAATTGCCCATCAACCTAGCTTGTCCCTTCTGTGTGCCCTCCATCATGCCAGCCAAGCCCAGGAACATTGGGATCTCCTGGCTAAGAATGGCTGTCTCCTCACTAAGGACCTGTGTTGCACTCCCAAAGCTTCAGAGGACATAACACAACTCGAACATCATGTCCCACTCTTCTCTGCCCAGAGGAGCAGCTGTAACAATAGAAGTCTCTAGTGCCAAATCAGGGAGTGTCCTTTGCTTCTCCAGCACTCATTCAAGGAGGCAAAAAGTGGAATTCCATCAAGTTGTTACACTCTGGATTAGGTGAGGCAGTGCCCACTCCCCAGTGCATGCTGTCCTCTGCTTCCCCAAAACTGCTGGCATTTCCTGCTGATACTCTCACTGTTATGGATTCAATCAGTTCAGTCATTTCCTAATATCAAGGCACTGCTGACTGTTGGTGTACACTTGGCAAAATCACTGGGAAGGTGTCAGAGGAGACAGGGAAATTCATTTAAAATGTTTTGCCGGTATGTGTATTTTCAAAGGGGGAAATAATGATAATGTGGTACTCCTAATAACGGAATTCCAGATATCTGGAAATTCCAAATTTTAAAATTCTGAATCCAAAGTGCTGTAATTTGGAATTCGAAATCTGAGATTTGGTGCTGACAAACCAGTAGGCAACCGGAAACTGTTCTGATTCTATTTCTGCCCTCTAGAGGGCACTGGCACCATACTTGATCGTTGTTGCCATCTCTTTTGGAGTGTAGAAGAAACAAACCAGAGCTTGGTTGCGACTCTAATGCCAGGTTCTGCTCTTAACTCTAGCTGGTCAAGGGGCATGCCTCCTTATTTTTCATTTATGATGTTCCCCTTCAACCTGCAAAAAACTACTGGCCAGATGTTTGCAAATACTTTATCTGTAGGCATTGCTACATTTCTGCTAGGATGAAGTAAACCCCCTTTCTCACGAACAGCTCTGTTATCTTAAAGTATGTAGACAGTACCATCCAGACATGTAGCCTATGCACACATGCACCACCCACATACACACTTACATTATGTGATAAACATATGCAACACCTTTTTTGAAGCCATACATGCATTCATACTTGTGGCTCATAGTTCTGTGGCACACACATACATACCATACTTGTACAGCACACACACATACTTGCTATATAGTATTTTCTTATTTGGTTCTTGGAGAAGCTATTCATGAGTACAGATACAGTCCACTTCTCACCTGGTAAGACTTCACTGCATGTGTTATCCAACAGGAATAGTATGGATAGGAACACAGATAGGAAAAGATCAGAGAGGGTGAGAATCTTCACTGTTTGTACTGATGGGAGCAAAGTGCATGCTATATGTCCCTTTTGAAAACTACCCTATAGACACACTGAAATTCCCTGAAGAAATGGAATGTGGACCTTGGCATCGGGGGTAGGTATAATGTAGAGGTTGCTTGTCCAATTTTTATCAAAGCAACAAGAAATAATGGGTTAAACCAAATCATTTGTCCCAATTAGAGTAAATCAGCTGAACGAATGAATGAGACTCTGGTAAGTCAACACATATGTAAGTCTTATTGGTTCAATGAATTTATTCTGTTTCACCAGCAATTGGAATTTAGTCTATCTAATGTGTTTATCCATAACTTGGAAAAATTGCTTTTGTGGAATTTTGGCCTTGCTGGCTGTAGGATTATGGGAACTATAGTCAAAAAGAATCCCTCCCCACAACCTCTGATTTTAGCATCAGTGTAAACATTCATTTTCCTCTTGGCGAAGTGGGCTTAGAAGCACAGGGTAACTAACTTTGTTCACACTGTATGAACCTATCTGTTCCTTTTGTACAGCTTAACCAGCTGTAGAGAGAAAGCACCTCTGGTTCTCAGGATACAGGTTTCACTACAGTGTGAAGATGATTCCGTTTTCCAGCAGGATGTGAGGAGGTTGCAGATGATGTCAAAAACATGAGATAATGTTTACAGAAATGGAAAGTTACAAGGAATGAAATCCTCTAGAGCCATCTTTTTCAACCTGGTGGCTGTGCTGTCAATGGATGATAAGAACTGTAGACCAGCAGAGCTAGAGGTTACCTAGGTAACCTGGTGGCTGTGCTGTCAATGGATGATGAGACCAGCAGAGCTAGAGGTTACCAGGCTGAAGAAGGCTAATAGAGAGGTACACCAAAGGAGGTTGCAACATTTTGATTTGACTCTATGTCATACTGTGTTTCAGCTAAAAGTCTAACAGAGCAAACAAATCTGCTCTCCACTAAAATACATTGGCTAAATATAAGATGCTGTTTTATAAGTATCCATGGAATGAAATCCTGCCACTATCTCTAGAAGAGGTAGACACAATGGCCTTAGGGAAAAGGGAACCAGACAGCACGAGAATCATCACTGTGTGTCTCAGAAATAGCCAGCTTTCATCTGGAAAGAATGGTTCCTTCTTTAAAGTTCTGAGTTTCTTCTCCTCACTTATCATCAGAAAATGTTTTTTTTTTTTAGTTTTTAAATATTGGACTCTCTCTCTCTCTCTCTCTCTCTCTCTCATCTCCCCAATCTTGGAATTAAGCAGAATCCTGGACCAAGCCCCCCATTAGGAGAATAGCTCAGCTTTTTAAATTGTATTTTCAGATCTATTTCAGACCCTATCGTGCTCCAATTGTTTCACTAGTAATGTGGTACAATCCAGTCCTCCTTCAAGGCACCTATTTCTCAGTCAGCCCACAGTTGTCTTCCCAATCACCTTCTTTCCTGAAACTACACTCGTTGCTACCCCAGTAGCATGGACAGGGAAGACAGGGAGATCTAACTCCCTCCCCAACTTTTTCCGGCATACTGCCATAGGTGCATGTCTGAGTGAAGGCACATTAGGCACACTGGGAAATATTACTTCCCAGAACCAATGGCATGGATGGATAGCTCTGGGAAAATCACATTCCCAGTGCTCCTCATATGGCACACAGTGTGCCTGACATAGAGAGGGAAGAACAGATATCCCTTTCCTTCTCTGCACTGTGGAAGCACAAAAAGGTAAGGATGAGGGGAAGGACTTTGAAATATCATGAGTGAATGGGAAAGAGGCTTTAAAGGAGAGTTTTAGTCACTTTCTGGCTTGGATTTTATCTAAACCAAAGGGGAAACTCCAAGATTGTAACACCTTGCATTACAATATAAGCACAGTACTTTTTAGGTCAAATCTCAGATTACCTCTGCCAGTATAGCCACTGGTCATGCCAGGTAAAGTATTTTGAGAAATGTAGCCGAAAAGGTAACTCTAGATATGAGCCCATTTGGATTCGTATTCCAAGCTCACTGCTACTAAATTTACTTATATGTTTATTATAAGTTTATTATATTCCCCATGGGAAAATCTGTTAGGCCCTTTCTCTAAACTCAGGGACCAACAGATCATATTTGGGTTTGGAATCAACTCTCAATGTTTGGTCGCTGCAGAAATTTAACTTGTATTTCACCTGTCTTTTCTTAAAAGTTTGGCAGAAATCATATGCTTGAGCCTCCAGGGTTCCCTTCACTTTACATGTTACACAGTAGCCATTTTTTTCATTCTTGTCCAACACAATTTTGGAAGGGAAATGCATGCCTGTCAACACAACATGGAAACAATGGCTAATTGTAACTCCTTGATATACACCCATTGTGAACTTACAAACAAGCATGTCTCTTCAAAGTTATCTCCTTCATTCAGTACTAAACTTATGGCCATATTGGGAATGTACTTGTAATGTGATGTATACAGCACTTCTGACCATGAGTTCCCAAGTATCTCTGGTGTGGAGCATTTTTTTTACTCCTACTGTGTGCTTGTAATGCACCATGATGACTTTCTGAATCATGTGGTTAGGTCTTGTATTAAAACTAATTGGATATCAAAGGAATTGTTCTAGTCCACCCCGTGGTCTCTAAAGCACATGATTCCACTTTTGCAAGGAGTGGTGAAAAGCAAATAAGCAAAATGCAGACATCTTACAAAACGGTGCGTTCTCTAATCAGTAATGCCATCAAAGCTGGATTTTTACTCAGAAGTCTAGAGCCCAGATAGAAAATAGAGCAAGCGAGCCACCAAAGAGGGCAGGACTAGCTTACTATATTTGGAAGGTAAGCTATATATCTTCCCTCCAAAGAGACAAGGACTCCTAAGACCATTTGTCCAGAGTTGAAAACCACCAAATTTTTCAGGTATGAGTACTAAGCAAAGTAAGTGATAGTAGACATTTTAAATAACATTCATCTTGGCGATGGACAAACAAGGTGGAAAGTGACTCTAGAGCCAAAGATGGACAGAACCAGTGCAATAGTCTTCCTTTCATTCTGGTTGGTCAGGAATGAGCAGGAGATGTTCGGTCCTACTGTCACAGAGCACAGGCCAATAGAACTCTCATCCTGCACAATTCTAACCAATCAGAGAGAAGAGGGCAGTTTCTGATAGCAGTGGAATGAAGTGGGGTGGTGGTGGTGAAATATAAAGTATCACTTCAGTAATGTTGGAGGTAGCAGTGGACAATGGAAATCATAGTCACGTGCATACATAAGCAGACAACCTGGCTGCTCCTGATGCACTACTACCTTCCTGGGTAGTTGTTTCATGGAAATATTCTCAACTCTCTGTCCTCCTAGTGCTCTGGATAGTCATTGCTCCTATAAAGTTACAAGTCTTTTCCCTAAAGAAAACTGGCACCCAGCTTGGCTTGCTTCATTTCAACCCACACGAACACAAGCTGTTGTCCCTCCACAACCCCATCTATAGTCCAAGCATAGCTGCAAGCAGGTGCTTATAGACAGTGTACAGTTTATTGGGTGTGTGGGAGGGTGATTCTCCAGCTGAAAGACAGAGGGGGTTCAAACAGCAGACACATACTGGTAAAACAAGATCAGAGATGAATCCTGGTCCAGTCAGGCTGGAGGAAAAGTGGAAGGAAGGAAAGCACAGGCCAAACCAGCAGGCACAGGGTAGCTGAATTGATTTCAACCAAGCAAGCAATTATCAGTGGGAGCCACCATCTTGGTCAAAGGTGAGCTCCCAGGAACGTGGCAGACACAATGAGAAGACAAAGCATTGGTGGAACTTCTGTCCTGTTTGTTTTCTCAGAAAACATGCAAGGGATGTGTGACTAGTAACAGTGTCATCAATCAGACTGTGTAGTGCCCTTCACAAAGATGGTTGCCCCTGGGCTATGTAGTGCCCTTTCCAAAGATGGCTGCCTCCCACCTCAGTCCATGTTCCCAGGCACCACTATGAGAAGTTTGCATGAGAGGAAGTGGAGGGAAGGAGTACAGGGAAGGCCAGTTCATCCATAAAGGCTGCTTCTTATTTTATTGGCAAGGATTAAAGTGCATAGGAGTGAAAGCAGAGTCCGAGGCAAAGTGGGAGGAGAGGGGTGGAGGGCAGAATGGGGCCCAACCAGCTCCCTGAAGAAGGATATCCTCCAAAAAAGGCCACTTGAGCTGCACAGAAAGGGAAAGAAGAGAGAGGCAGAGAGAAAAAGAAGATAAGTTATGTACTGGCAATTGACAAGACAGAGTTCTTCAGCAAAAATGTCTGAGAAAATATTTCTGGGAACTGGAGAAATGGAATAACAGTATGTTTGCATATTCCACACACATAGCCCACTTTGTTACAACATTGTGTGTCTCCTTGTGTACATTAAAATAATATATATACTTAGGATTCTGGGGGAGGGGGGCAATGCCTGTCTCGTGCTTCTGCCTCCAAATAATCTTTCCTTCTTCTCCAACTTTTGCTCTCCTGTCACTGCTTTGCAGCTGTTTGATATTAATGATTTAAATGTTTGCAGACCCAAATCTGATGTAAGATACCTTTTCTGATCCAGAGATATATTGTTTCTCTTCTCATCTACTGCTGTATCCTTCTCGTATATAAACCTGTGGCTAAATTCAGGACCTCACTAGCTACTTTTCATTTATTTTACCCTTGCTCTTCCCTCTCATTTGATGATGTAAATACACCCATACCCAAAGATATTCCCTGCCCCATTAAAGCTAAACTTTCCCTTGTGTGACCCAGGAAGTGCATGCACTCCAACACATAAGAAGTACATGCATTTTCATTAGTTGATATTATGGAGCAACCCCAAACTCAACCTCTGTGAGGAATTAAGGTCTTTGCTATGCCCAACCCATCACTCACCAACACAAGCTGTGCCATCCTCATTGGGCTCAAAGCCCCGGCTGCAGCGCTTGTTGCTGCGGCAACGGTATCCACCATATGTGTTGATGCAGACGGGCCTGCCCCTTGGACAGACAAAGGGAAATTCTGCACACTCATCCATATCTAAAGAGAGAGAGAGAGAGAGCTCAACAAAGGTTCAGAAAAGCTCAGAAGAACACAGAATCTAATGACAAATAGATTACTAGCACCACAGTTGGTGTGGTGCTTTATCCTCAGAATAGAGCCATTGCTATGGTCACTGAACATCAGAAAGCTGACATTCTACTACAGTATGCCCTGTTGGGAGCAGAGGAAAATTGCACCCCTGCTACCATTCACTGATCTGCCCCTACTAGATGACTCACCAACACATCGCCCATTCTCGTGCTGAGAGAATCCTTGGCCACACTGTGAAATAAAGGAAAACATTTTGTCATATGCGCTCAATTTCCTCTCAGGCTTGTCTCTTCCCTTTGTGTATTCTGCTCTGAGATGCTGTTTCAGAGAGTTGAGCACTCTGCATGGCTGCAGTTTCTGTGTAACAGCTAATATGTACCTCCCAGTTTTGAGTATCTTTGTTATAGAATCAATTCTGAAAAGTGTACAGGAAGTTTCTTCATCCCATCTTTACTAGCCTTCCACAAGCAGATGAAGACCTTTATCTTCAGGCAGGCTTTTCCTCAGTGACTGACTCGTCAGTCTGGGAAAGCAGCCCATCTAGGAGAAGGAAAACTCCCATTTCAAACCTCCACTGCCTTGTGGCTAGATCCACTGATGGAAAAGGCTTCAGGAGTTAACCTCGAGGCAAAATCCGGAGCCGGAGTGCCAGAGGCAGTTCGTGCCATTTTGCCAACTCCTGCGATGTCGCTGGAACCAATTGTATTGGCTCTTGCCTTTCCATTTGACTACTTCAGCGACGTGGAGAGATTTGCTGCTTGAGTAACAGCCTATCCTCCATATTATTTTTCCTAGGCTTTGTGCTCTGGAGAGGACACTCCAGCTTCTCATACAGTGTGGAAACAACATGGAAAGAGATTGCCACTCTCGAATTGGCCTTCTCAGCCACACTAGATGCTGTTCCAAGTCCTCCATACAGAGCACGTTACCATAGTCTCTCAAGACTGAAGGATGCCTAACATGGGGTCTGTCTAGGAGACAATAAACAGGATGGTTTATACTTTGTTGCTTCTAAAACTATTTTTTGTAATACTTCTACATAACATTTTTAATATAATGTTATTAACTCTTCTTTAATATTTGGATAATTTGCTATTTTTAGCTTTTAATATTGTGTTTCTAATGACATAAGCCGCCACAGGTCATTTTTAGAAGGAAGGCAGTGTAAAAATATTTTAAATAAATTTATGTTTCATTATTTGAAAGCTACCAGGAATTTGGGCAGGACATTTAGCATTCAGAAGATCCCACTATTTCTCTAATCATTTTCCAAGGCCTTAATTTATCTGCCCCTGTGCACCTGTTTCTTCTCAGTATTTTGTGGTGAGTAAATTCACTGCTTTACAATCAATGCATCAACGAAAAAAGATATGTGTTCCAAAATTCTAAGATCATTGATTAAAAAGACTGCATGTTTTCTTGGAACTCCATAATGTTTGGCCGATATTTGTATCTGTCCTTCCTAACCATTTCATCACAACCGTGACTATATATGAACAACATCCAAATCTTACACAATTTATCTTAATATATCATGCAAAAATATGGTGGTAGCATTCAAAGTGCAGATGTTTATCATAATAGTGTTGACCTATATTAATAAACTAGTTCTAGCAGTTTACCTCTCCATCAGGTGCAAAATTATTTGGGTCAGTTGTAAAACTAAGAGGTGTTAATTGCCTTTTCAACTTCACCTCCAGTTGCTTGGAAAATCCCTCCCTCTCCCCTCACTGGGAGGGTTATAGTTAACCTAGAAAAAGCCAGAAAACCAGGGAGGAGGGCAGCCAATGACACATCATTTCTGCAGTTTTCAAAGTGGCAAGCCACATTAATCCATGAGAGCATGTCAGACAAGAAAAAAACAAAATGAAAGCATAACTATATGAATATCTGCCATGCATTCTCCCTGTTAGGTCTGAAGTTGTGAACCCTGTCCACAAAAGCTCACATTAAAATAGTCTTTAAAGTGCCACAATGTTTTTGTCTTCTTTATCTTTTTTTTGCTTTGTTTTGTTTCTTGTTTGATATAGTAGCATTTCTGGCAATCAAGGCATGCTGGTGATTACAATCACACACACACATACACACACACACACACCGATCCTGCAGCAAATCTGTTACAGAAATGAAGCAAACACAAGTGCCCCAATGCTGCAGGACTAAATGGACACATACTAATCTCATGGCCAAGGGTAAAAGGCTATAGTGACATTGTGCCACTTGTCTCTCAGGAAAACAGAAAGGCAAGGGAAGATCAGACTAGTTCTGAGAGAAGGAGCAGTTGAAGAGAACTTGTTCCCTACACTACCAGAAAGAAACCTGTGCTCCAGTTGCCAGTTACCCTGTGACTGCAGAAGTGATGGGAAACACACCCTGAGCAATGCCATCAGCGAGAGGAATGGAGCTGTTCAGTTTCATCACATCTATTGAAGACTAACATTAATAGAAATACACTAGGTGCTTTGCCCTAAGATTGTCAAACCATCTCCCTACTCTAGTTTCCTTCTCTTCCCCTTTCTCTTCTATGTCTTTTAAGTTTGGAAGTAGAACCTCTCTTTCTCTCTCCCTCTATTGTTGAGTAATACTTTGGGTGACAATATTTGCTTGAAAACTGGGGCAGAATTACAGTATAATATAATGAACACAATTTGTTATCCTTTTTGGAACTAGTGGGGCATGTTGTCGCAGACTTAAACACCCCTTCCCCCAATTTCCCTGCCCTCCTTTCTTCCACTTATTGCTAATTAACTACTCTTATATCATTCCTTACTTGCTAATAAGTGTATTCTCTGCTCTTTCTGCCTATGGACGTGCTATTCAGTCTCCTAAAATGCTAGAGCATTTGACAGTGTAACCTCTTCTGTTTCTACTGAGAGTGAAATTGATGGCTGTGATAGAATTATAGTAATACTGCATCTGAACCACACAGATCCAGGCCCAGGTGTTCTGCTATGGCAGCCCTGTGCAGGTGGCCTTCCCCATTCACTTCAATGGAAAGGGAAATTTTACACATGTAAAATGGAGGCATATACAGAAACTTTGGCCCTAAGGAACATTAATCATTAGCTTTCCTTTATAATACTGTGTATAGATGTAGTTACTGATTTGGGCTATAGAATCAGAAGTTGATTTAGAAAAATACAAGCTACTTCCCAGGCTCTACTTTTTACATCTCTGCAATAATCTGTGCTACTTTAGTTATGTCAGGATATTTAAGTAACTGAAAGTCTCAAAGGTCAAGACTGGTCATTTTGAAATTTCATGCTCGTATCCACCTTTACTGGATCTCTACCTCAACAATGTTTACTTGTATATAAACCTGTGGCTACTCATTTCACTTTATGTGCCCGAGGAAGTGGACTGTAATCTACAAAAGCTCTCAGTGAAAAATTGATTCGACTTTAAGGTGCTATAATAGTTTTGTTATATTTTTGTTTTGTGTTCACCACACATTGAACTAAAGAAGTATGTGGGGCGCTCCATGTGAGTCAAAGACTCTGTATATATGTTAGAATGCCCACATCAGATTTATCAATATATGTCAAAGGAAAGTAATCAGTCACATCAAATTATACATTTGCCAAATGAGCTTCATTTTCATGGGGCAACACCAAATCTTTCTAATTTTTGCAACATTTTCCATTGAACACTACTGAGGTTTCATAACTCATTGTTCATAGAGTGCAGAGGCTATATAATTAAAATAACTTCTTTTCACTTATTTGGTAATGCCGTTTGTAAATGTTTCCAACTTTTTATTGCTGAACTCCACTGTCGACAGAAGAAGCACTAGAACAGTAGAAGGACAGACAAATTCTGTACTCTGTAATAGACAGCAGTGCTAGAACGAAACCCAGCAATAATGTTGTAGTCAGAGTTGAAAAAGCAGTGCTGCAGAACTTTTTGGCTCTGACAGCTTGGCCATTCTTTTCCTCCCATCACTGCATCTCTAATGGTGAATGTCACTATGCTGGCAGAAGCACATTCAGTAATGACATCACTTCGGTCATTATCTAACACCAAGGCCCCTTTTCAAGTATTTTCTGGTTTCTCATCAGTTTTAACACAGTACATGGAGGCCCAAAGTAGATAAACTGCATCATTACATGAGGACAGTTTTGAAGGAGGTTCAGAAGATGAGGGACTGGTTGGGACCTTACTGACTCCGTCTGTCTGTCCTTGCTTTAAAAATATTTTGATTGTACCCACACCCTTCCTAGAAATATACTGCAGCTACATATACATGACACACAGTAACATTCAGAGCTCAGTATCTGACCAAGCTGAACACATGGGCATCATTTATTTTAAAATTACACATGGACTGAGTTTGTGGTTGCATGCCTCTCATTTCTTTCCAAACCATCTTAAGTATCATAGTCTTTTTCACTGGCTTTTCTCATTTTTTTATTCTCCCATTTTTGTTTTCATGTACCTAATGAATGTCTTCCTTCTGTCTTTTATAAGCTCTGCAGACAGGAACCTTAATTTTACATTTTTGCAATTTATATACTTGCTAGTACACAGAGAAATGTTTAGGAATACAAGATTTTGAGAGTGGAGAACAGATAAAATCATACCTGCTTTTTTCACCTAGATTTTCTGCCATGATATATAATACTAGAAGGCTGCTAGTTCCAAACCTGAGAATTTTATAACTAATTGGGAGAAAGGGACATGCCACTCTAAAAATGGGGAAAGCATCCCCTTAGTTCTTCTAATTCCTATCCAAGGTACTTGCCATGCATGCCAAGAGCTTGAGAAGGGCAATGGTCTCTCTTTCTCTGCCTTGTGTTTTCTCAGGATTTGGTTTCTGCTACCTCACAGCCTTCTCCATCTTAGACTTACTCATAACCATAGAGCTTATTGATAGACTCACACATTCTAACTGACCTCTGTGTTCTCTTCCCTTTGATCTGTTCCTTGCGCTCTTTCTGTATACTCAGCTGCCATCAATGTTGTCTAAGATCACCTATCCCTGTTATTTTTTAAAAACTGCAATTTCCTATGAATTTACAAGCATATATACTTCCACACACACACACACACACAAACACACACACACACAGAGATAGAGAGAGATTGCTCATACTAAAGTATGATTCAGCTACTCATCTTGTCAACCTTTCCTCTGTACAGGAAATGTGTACATTTATCTCTCTCTCTCCCCCCACTCTTTCCCCCCTCTCCCACCTCAACTGTAATCCGTATGTTTTAATTGCTCCTGACTACCAAACATTCATGGGCTCATTGTAGTAGGGTTTGGTTGGGGATGGGGGTGCCCCTTTTTGTTTTCTTGTGTGGGAGTTGCATTCCTGCCAGCTTGGGATTCTGTTATCTTGTTTTCAGTGGCACTGTTTTCTCTCTCTCTTTTTAGTATGGGGGTGTATTGAGTTGATGATTATTAGAAAAAATGATGCCTCTTGACATTTCTTATGCAGGAAATACAGCGCAACCTGACTATTAGCTTTACTAAGACATTCCTGGAAAAGGCCCTGATGCTGGGAAAGTGTGAGGGCAAGAGGAGAAGGGTACGACAGAGGACGAGATGGTTGGACAGTGTCACCAAAGCTACCAACATGAATTTGACCAAACTCCAGGAAGCAGTGGAAAACAGGAGGGCCTGGCGTGCTCTGATCCATGGGATCATGAAGAGTCGGACATGACTTAATGACTAAACAACAAAACTAAGACAACAAAAGGCTAAGTCTGTATGTTTCTTTTCTTCATAAAGAAAAGAGAAAGAAATGTGGTCAGAAATAATAAAAGAGAGTTTGTGGAGGGGTGTCCATCCAAATCACATGGGTGTCAGGGGGGTACTTGCTTCCCATAGACTCCTGAATAAATTTATTTAGTTTAATCTACAGACAGTGTTACATCCAGCTGGGCCTGTTCTGTGGAACCATCAGAGTTGTGTTTTTTTTTTCCACACAAAAACCACACAGTTCTTAAAAATGTCTTGTGGCAAAACTGAGAATTTAAATTCCTGTGAACTGGGACAGGGGAGGAAGAAGGAGAGATACATATTATACTGAGCAATATTTAAGCCTGTCTCCACATTTGTCCCGGTATTTTGAAAAACATTTTCTTGCAGCTGTTCAGAACGTTTACCTTTTTGTCTTTTGGAGTCCTCTCCCTCCCTTTTCAATAAACCATGAAAATCTTTTCAGGCAGCTGTTTGGATCTTTGACTGAGTGGGTTAATGGTACTAAAACCAATCCTTGCCTTAACCATCTCCTGGGATTTTTGCAATGTTTGTGTGTGGGACTGGCGGCAGCTACCTTGCAAGGCTGATGTGCTAGGTCTCAGTGCCTAGTCTTGGAAAATTTTCTTTTGTGTTGAACTCCCTGGAGCACCTCTAAGCCTAGGAGACAAGACAAGGGAATGTATACAATTCCAGTCAAACTTCCATAGTCTTCACCGCATCTGACTCTTTCTGGGTGCTCCCACTTGAGCAGGAGCAGGAGCAATGTGGCTGAGTGGCTGTAAAGATGCAAACATTGTATTCTGTTAGCTGCTGTAGCTGATTTTGAAAAGTAAAATGTACGTCTGGGTTCCTAGAACCGCAAACCTGACCAAGCATTACCATTTGTCTCTGCCAAAACTACTCTCTACAGACCCCACTGCTGAAGTTTAGAGTACAGTGGTGCCTCAACTTACGACCATCCTGATTTGTGACCAAATCGAGTTATGACCAGCCACGGTCGCAAAATTTTGCTTTGATTTGTGACCAGAGCATTGAGATACAGTATGATCAGAAAAAAGGTGAGGGAAAAGGCGGGGAATTTAAACTACTAGCCGTTGGTCGGCGAAGAGGCTGTTCCTTCGTAGCTCCTTCGCCCCAGCAGTTAGAGAGTGTGCATTGTGAGAGAGGCTTTGGACTGCCTGGTACTGCTTTTATTTTTGCTTTTTGACTTTCTTTTTAAAAACAAAGATACTGCCTGTTCTGGGTGAGTACTGGGGTTTTGCAGCATGGGTTTGGGCTGGGGGGGTTATGTTTCTGTGCTTCGATGGGTCTTGCAGTGGGTTTCTTAATGGGTTTTAGTGGATTTTTTCTCCTTAATCACAATTCTGATGGGTCTTGCAGTGTGTTTTGTAGTCCCTGCTGGAATGGGTTTGTTTGATTCGGGGGGGGTTATGTTTCTGTGCTTTGATGGGTCTTGCAGTATGTTTTTTAGTGTGTTTTTAGTGGGGTGGGGGGGTTCGGCCGGAACAGATTAATCGCGTTTCAATGTATTCCTATGGGAAATGGTGCTTTGAGTTACAAACAACTTGAGTTATGACCATCATTCCAGAATGGATTAAGTTTGCAACTCAAGGCACCATTGTATGGAGATCCTTTTCTTGACAAGTCTAATAAAGTTGCCAGTATTGTGATAATAGCAATTATACTTTTTAATACATAGCCAGTGTGTTTGTTCATGGGGGGGGGGTTTGCCTTCTCTCCATCACTCCACAAATTTTTTTGTTATAGTGTTCTGCATTAATGTGGTCATATTTCAAGTTTTGGGGATTTATATTCACTGGGGACTTTTAAATGTTAAGGATCAAACACACAGCAGTGCCTCATGCTTGCAAACCATTATGTTGTTGCCCCCTCCAAAATTCTTGCACACCCCTTTGTTTAAATGGGTGGCTAGCAAACTAGGACTGACCTCAAGAGGAAGCATAACAGGGGATGACCCTGGAGTGTCCTGAGGATAGGGGATTTCCAGCACAGAATTGGTCTCAGTGTTCACAACAGCGCGGCTGACGAATTTGCCATCTGGCCAGGTCACCTCCAGGCTGCTAGGCTCATCCTGTCCTGCAAGGAAGAAAGGCAAGGAAGAGCTGATCTTAGGCAAGGCAAGGATTGCAGTTACTCAGTCGTTTTGCCAAATACTAGCCTAAGCTTCCCTCTCCTGCTTCCCACTATTAAAAATCTGTCTTAATAGAGCTGAAGGAGTTTCAGATGTGATGCCATGTTCTTCTGTTGCCCACTCTGTGCCAACATGAGCCAAACTCCCAGGGATAAGTCCATCCCGACTTCCTAAACCACGTCGCTTCTCTCCTCACAGCCCACTCAAACCTGGGCATGCCCCACTAAGCTAAGCCACCTCAAGGTTGTGGAAGAGTAATGAGGTGTGCAGATATAGCAGCACCTTTTTTAGAAACAGCTGGAGGGGGCAACCAGGGTCCCCCTGCAATGCATGCTTTTTTCTCTAGGAATGAAAACTACTGAAGGCACCCCTGATAAACATTATTATATAAGGAAAGATGAACAGAATTCCCAAATACTTTGAAAGACAATGTCTCAAAACTGAGCATATACAGTATACTGTATGCTTGGTTTAAAATATTGTTGGTTGGTAGAATTTCAAGAATCCACAGATTCAATCAAATAAAGAGAGCAAAACGTTTTGGATGAAAGAGTCAAATTTGAGTTAATGAGATATCAGAATCAAAGTTTTGTGTGTTGCTTGCAATGAACTCTCCAGTGACTGGCAGGCAAACTTTGAAGAAAGGTGATTACAACTTCCAGAATCCCCAGTTACCAAGCTGGTTGCAGGATTCTCAGCGTCCAGGAGAAAAGAACATAACATTTCTAAGATCTGGTAGGTCATGGGAGACTGTGACAGACAAGAGAAGGCCCACAAAATCTGGGAGCTGTGTTTTATTGGAATGGTTTGGAGGATGGTTGGGACAAGAAAATACCTGGGAGAAGATGCTATTCTGCTTTTCAAGCCCTACTTCCCTTCCTTTGCACTCACCCAGGCCAAAATGGGCCACAGGTTCCATCTCACACAAGTACCCAGACCCTCCATCAATGATACGCAGATGGGCACCACTGTACCGCGTGAACAATACGACTTTAGCACCACGAGCAAATGCCCCAAAGCGTGTACGTGGAATCACTCGCAGCCAGTTGTTGCCAGCACCCTGTGGAGACAGACAGACTCAGCCAGGCATAAGGTGGGCATGAAGCTGAAAAAAATTAGATGGAGGGGACCATGCTTGCAGATATATGGGTTGGGATTGATACACATTATGTGGAAGAGTACTCTTTTGAACTTACTTCATTGACTTTGAAGACAGAGAGAGGCTGTGCCATGGACTCGCCATGTGACAGGATCAGATCCAGCCTGCCATCACCATCAAAATCCACCACTGCACCACCTAGAATGACACAACTGCAGTAGGTCAAAGTCTCCTTCAACATCTTGGTCCTGACACGACCATATTCCCCCACCGCAGTCATTACTGGCATAACATGCAGAATGAGACAGTCGAGGAGTATGATCTTTTTTTCATTTTTATCTCCACTCTGACTTGCCTACAGCGGCCTTTGGCTGTCTCGCCATGTGGCAGTTTACACCACAGGCTGCTGCTGTTTCTGGAGCTAAATTCTTTATCACTCACAGCATCTTTCACCCTTTCTACCACTGGTGCTCTAGAGTTCAGCCTCTGAGCTGCAGACGGGCATTACAGACAAAGACCTTCTTTCCTTGCGTTGGTGGTATAGTTGTTAGCAAATTGGACTGGGAGTTGGGAGATTCAGGTTCAAGTGCCCACAGCACCATGAAACTCACTGGGTTCCTTCCTTCCTCTTTTTTTTTTTAATGAGAGAGATACCTTATGGAAAACAGATGGAGTAGCTGCATAACACCTTTCAGTCGTTAGCCATAGGAGTCCTCTGTTCAAAAGCTTCCTGGCAGAGAACAGGTCATCAGTTGAAAGTTACATTTGGCCCAAGTTCTAACCCTCCATCTGCTTCAGTGATTTCATCTCTAACACATCAGTTCTCCTCTTGTTAAGCGAAGCCATGAAATCACACTCCATAACAGGCACCTCAGGCACTTACCTGTGCCACGCCCTTCAGGCTCTGTAGCATCACCAGGATTCAGTTCCTCAATGGCTGGGTCTGCATGTTCTCGACGGGTGACCCTGAAGCAGAAAGGGGCTATAGGAGGGACGAGTGGATACCCTCTGTTCCTACGCAAGTTCCCTCAGTGGGGTTGTCCTCTTAATGGAAGAGACACTGCCCTCCATGTCCACACATGGAGCTTTCTTTTGCCCATGCACACCTTTCCAAGAAGGGGCCCTGCCTGCCTGCAGAATGACAGGTCTTTGTGTGGACTCCCCAGTGTTGCCACATGCTGCTACTATCACTTTATTAGCCTGAGAAATGTAAGTGGCTCTGCTTAATGAGCCATTGATTGCCTACAATTAATGGGAACCGTGCATAAGTGCTAATTAGTAAAAGCCAAAACCTCCAGGGATGTGGTCTTGACAGAACAGACTGCCTGTGGCAGAAGCAATGCTGGAAGGGGTTCCATCATAGAAATATCAGCTGGCTGAGGAAGGGACAGACCTGAAGAGGACACCCCCCCAAGCCACTTCATTCCTGCAGACTACAGCACAGGGGAGTAAATGGCATTATATTCTAAGTCAAGGATCCAATCCTCCCTCCACCCATACTCCCAGGGAGACATGCAGGACTTCCCAAATATATGGTGGATTTACCCAGACTCTGATGTGGGGAGCCCTTGCTGCAGTGCCCAGGGCCTAGAAGGGTGGGGAGCCCACTGCCCCAGTCTCTGGTGGCCACGTGGCTCTCACCCACCGGAAGAGGCGGTTGGCGGACGAGCCGCGATAGGCGATGTTGTTGAAGAAGACCTCCAATTCCTGGTCATTGTCAAAGTCTGCAGCGATGACGGTGCGGACAGGTGATGGCATGGACAGTTTGGGCGTGGCAATGTCCTGGGGGAAGGACGGGGATTAGTGGGGCAGGACTTGGGCAGGAGCAGGGCCAAGAGGAAGTTCAGGTCTGGAATTGGGATTAGCTAGTATAAGTATTTGTGCAGCTCGGCTGAGAAGAGGCGGAAGGTGAAAACAGTGCTTCAGGGTGCGACAGGCCACAGAGTACACTCTTTTGCAAGGGCAGCTCTTGGGGTGGCTGGGATACAGAACAAAGTGAGGAAAAGCCTGTCAGATCTATACTGCAAAAATAATATGGAACATTCTAGAGCTGTGGGCTTGAATTAGAAGACAATAATTTTGAACAAGGAAAATGCGGCAACCCATCTGGAGATAAGAGACAGACAGGTCTCTTTGGTGACAGAATTAGATCTATGCATCCAGCAGTCTTCCACAGGGCAAAAACAAAAGAAACGAAAGCTTCTTAATTACCAGTAAAGCCGCCTTTAGAAGTGCAGAAGATTTGATTATCTTACAGCAAGGTTTCACATCTTCACTCATTCCAAATTAGCTTGTTTGGCAATTGGTCATGGAAAGATGAAAAAAAAAGGAGCTTCGTTTACATGTTCATGGTACGAACAGGGCAGCTTTGGAGAATGCAGCTCTGGATCTATGTTGTTTTCGCACATGTGGATTGCAAAGCTGTAACCTCCTCTGTTTCTGCCCTGAGGTTACCACACACAACTGCTGGACCCCTACAGGCCACTCCCTTTCTCATAGCCCAGCATATCCTGGCAGTATGCTACTTTGGGTCCTACTACCTTGCACTGGCACTTACCCGGAAGCGCGTGCGGCCACCTGCAGTCATCTGCAGGTAAAGCCGGTGTGGTCCATTCCAGTTGCCATAGATTATATCAACTTTACCATCACGGTTAAAATCTGCCACTGCTACACCACGGCCATGCTGGTAGGGATCATCCAAGCCTGCACAGGATAGTGAAACAGGTGTTTGTGTGAGCCTGATGTATTGAACTGAGCCTTCCCTTTTGCTGATGTGGGGCTCGAAGGAACTGGGCTTCATGAACTGGCAGAGGAGACTAGAGGGTTGTTGCATAGCTTTCTTTGCACAAACCAAGTGCAGCTGTCAGGGCAAAGCAGGTATTAGAGAGAGACCTGCCAAGTGTGAGGGATCCCAGAGATAGCTAGTAGAGATAGCAGCATTTATAGAACGGCTGGAGAACTATTGCAGCACCCCTCTCCCACCCGTTCTGCCTCTTTTCCTCCTCTAGCCATACTCTTTCTGTTTTCTGGCTGATGGAAAACAAGTGGTCCCAAAAAGAATAGGTGTCGTCATCAGCACTTCAGTGATGGATATCATCCTGACACTTTGTTAAATTCCAGTGATTAGCCAGACACTGAACTACCAATGGCAGAGCCTGCGTGCATTGATACTCTCCCCCTCCCTCTCCCCCCCCCCACACAGGCAGGGATGGAAAACCCTCAGGATCCCACTTGGAGTAACACGTGCCCAGCAGCTACATGGCAATTTTTCTCCTCCCATCCATCGTTTCAGTCATCGTTACCTGGACCACATACTCACCAGTGCTGGGAGCTACATCTATGAAGGTACCATCACCCTGGTTCTGGAAGAGGAAGTTGGCGCCATTCTCATTGTCACAAAAGATGTCAGAGGCTGCTTCACTGAGGATGGGCCCCACAACTACGCCCCGACCTCCTGAAAAGAGGAACAGTGAAAGCTGCAGAACCAACTCATCAGCGGCTTCTAGTGAGGGCAGGGACAGTACCTGGGATGGCTTTTGGGTCACTGTTTTAGAGCAAACGATACCTCCACCAGGTTGTTTAGCTTCCCAGCTCCCTCCTTTCTCTCCCCACGGTTAGCTGAGCTGGAATGACCCTAAATTTCACAGTGTCATTAGGGCTTACTCTATCAGCAGTCAAGTTAACTCAGTTATTACAAAATGGGTTAATGACAATTCAATGCCATATAGACTGAGAGCAAGACTAAGACCACCAGGTGTCCTCACAGTGCTTGTGGGACTAAACATAGAGACAGATTCAGTATTAGCATGGGATAAGTCCCTTTTACCAAAAGTCTGGTGTCTGACAACTGCAATTCAACTAACGGCTACCCTTTTATTTTTCTCAATGCCCTGGGTCTTCTTAGTCCAGGATACAAGATTTTAAAAAAACAACAACACAATGTGTAAAGTTACCATACATGGCACCTGCCAGTGGAAGGAGCAATGGGTTTGTGGTGGCCGCTCTTTTGTTTTTGCCTCAGTGCACCATACTGATGAAACACCTGGAGTATTTTGAGAGGGATTCAAAATGGTGGATGTAGGAAGTTGCCAACTAAAGGAGTTTGACCACATTTTGTATTGCTTGAGGGGAAATAATCTTACCCTTCTGCTATTCTACAACATCAGCCCCTACACAAACTTTAGGGGAGCACCCTCTTTAGTGGAACCATGAAGAGGCATGTCAATCCTGGATTTGAGCTTCATTAGCAGTTTCCTCATTAGCAGGCACTCAGATAAGCCCTGCTTGATACCTTCACCCCCACCCCTTGCAGTGGGATGGCCTCCAGAGCAACAACCCTTCACCTTCACACCTGTGAATTTGTTGACTCCAGCTTCAGCAGCCACATCATTCAGTGCCACGATGCCACGTTCTGGGTCACTGGCAGCAGTGTCCATCTCGATGAGGGCATGTGGGCCAACTCTCCCATTGGCATAGTTAGCTATGTAGATGGCATAGCGGCCTGATCCCTGTAGGAAGGAAATGAGGTGTGTGCTAGTAAATAGCCTCCCCACTCAGTATGTGGGCTGCCAGAAGCAGGGCTTGGACTGAGGTGCGTCTGGGAAAGGAAACTCAGTGGCAGATAGCAGACTGTAAAACCAGCATAGCTCAGACTGGTTTTTTTAACTCCCCCCCCCCCGGCTTGCCATGGGCTTTCTTTCCCAAGAAAGATACCCATCATTTATGCCCCTGGCTTGCCTCAGACTTGTTTGCCAACCACTACCCTGCCCCCATTGTTCTCCCATGGCATCCTGATTTAGCAATAATCGTTTGAAAACAAACCACGCAAGGTAGAAGGAGAAGAAAGCGCAGGTGACAGGGGCATAAATCACCCAGACAGGTGGTGTTTATCAGCAGCACGGCACCCGCCTGGCACGGCAGCCCCTGATGGGAGTCCTGACAGCTGTGGGGGAGGGGTAGACTATGTCCACTGAGGAGTCTGGTGGACAGCGAGGCCCTCCAAACCTCTTTTCTTTCCTCATATTCTTTGCTTTGGTGACGTCTCTTTAGTTCCCAACTAGACACCTTCCTCAAGTCAGGCAGAAACCCACTGTCCTGAGATGACAGCCCTAGTTGCCCCATCCCCTCCTATGTAGGCACTCACCGTCCTGTCCACACATGCAACAGAGCGTCCAGCAAATCGACTTGCCACACCCCGATTCACCTCATCGCTCAGGATGTCCTCCCAACGTCCGCTGCGAAACTTGAACAGTTTATCTGTATAGGTGGCTACACCTGGGCAAAAGGGTGATATGCCATCAGGGACTTCACAGCAATGTATTGGAAAATAACCCTAACCATGTCTTTGGGCAATGGTCCCTCACTAAGTCTCAAAGAACTGTAGGTGGCTGAGTGCAGGGATGTGGCATAAACCCGTTCTTAAGAAGCAACTTCATTCATTCATATACAGTATATATAAGCACTACGGCACCCATGCTGGATCATGGGATCTAGTCTTGCTAGATCAGATAGCGTATCAGATCTACTCACTCACTCACTCACGCACTCACTCACTATATATATCAGCAGCACGACACCCATGCTGGATCACAGGATCTAATCTTGCTAGATCAGATAGCATATCAGATCTCGGAGATCTATATCAGATCCTTCTGTGTTGCCATTCTCTGGCACTCTCCTATATACATCTGGATGCCCAAGTTTGGGGACCACTGCTTTAGGAGATAGATGGACTTCAGCTCCCAGAAATCCTGGCCAGCAGAGATTATGGTCCAAGTTTTAGTCCAAGAAAATCTGGAGGCCCAAGGTTGGGGACCACTGTCATAAAGAATCCAAGGTGACTTTCAGTATTAAGAGAAACAAAGTTAAACGCTAAATAATAAATTGCTACAATATTTTAAAAGTGTTAAATGGATATATTAAAACTCATAAATAAGAGCAATATTAAAAGCTCAAGTAAAATAATAGAATAAAATTATCCCTTTAAAGAAAATCTGGAGGCCCAAGGTTGGGGACCACTGTCATAAAGAATCCAAGGTGACTTTCAGTATTAAGAGAAACAAAGTTAAACGCTAAATAATAAATTGCTACAATATTTTAAAAGTGTTAAATGGATATATTAAAACTCATAAATAAGAGCAATATTAAAAGCTCAAGTAAGATAACGGAATAAAATTATCCCTTTAAAAAATCCCATTGGTCAACCAGTCATTTAAAGGAAAGCCTTCCTGAAGAGAAAGGTCTTGGTTCACTTATGGAAGGACAGTAAAAAGGAGGCCAACCTGGCCTCCCATAGAAGAGAGTTTCAGAGCCAGGGAGTGGCAACACAGAAGGCTCTCTTACGTGTCCCCACCAAATGTGCCTATGAGGATGGTGGGACCAGGAGAAAGGCCTTTCCTTATGATCTTAGTACCCAGGTAAGCTCATAAAAGGAGATGACATATTTAGAAAGCCATTTAAAGCTTTATAGGTAAAACCAGCACTTTGAATTGTGCCCAGAAAGAAACTGGTAGCAGTGGGGGTGCCAAAGAGGGGTGTTTTGATCCCTGTAACCAGTCACAGTTAACAATCTGGCTGCAGCTCTTTGGACCAGCTGGAGTTTCCAAACGCTTTCCAAAGGCAGCCATATGTAGAGCACATTATAGTAATCCAGCTGCGATGCAACTAGGGCATGTGTCACCATGGCTAGATCAGACCTCTCAAGCAACAGGCACAACTGGCAACCTAGTTTAACTGTGCATAGGAACTCCTGGCCACTGCTGGAACCTGGGCATTCAAGGTTAGAGATGAATCCAGGAGCACCCCTTAGGGTGTGCACCTGTGTTTTCAGAGGGAAAGTAACCCCATCCAGCACAGGCTGACTCCCTGTTCCTTGATCTGTCTTTTGGCTAACCAGGAGCACCTCTGTCTTGTCTTGATTAAGTTTCAATTCATTTACTCTCATCCAGTCCATTACTAGCAGCAGACCATGATCTAGAATTGGTATAGCTTCCTCGGGTTTAGACAGCAAGGAGAGATAAGAGTTGGACGTCATCTGCACACTGGTGACACCAAACCCCAAAACTCCAGACAACCTCTCCCAGCGGTTTCATGTAGATGTTAAATACTGTAGGGCAGCCATTCTCAACGGGTGTCATATGGTCCCCTGGGGGTCCCTGGCACATTTCTTTTATATTGTGTTTATGGCCATAGACCAAAAAAGGTTGAGAAAGGCTGGCACAGGGAACAAAACAGAACCCTGAGGGACACAACAGTTCAACAGCCAGGATGTTGAATGATATTTCCCCCAGCACCACCCTCTGAGTTCTTCCTTCCAGGAAGGGCAGGAGCCACTGTAGCAATGCTTCCAAGTCCCATCCCAGAGAGACAGTCTAGAAGGATACCATGGTCAATGGCATCGAAAGCCACTGAGAGGTCCAGCAGAACCTACAGGGACACACTCTAGGGCTTCAACAGAATTACTTGCTAAGGTGACAAGAAATTCCCCAAGAGATATCAGGAAACCATTTTGATGCATCAGCCGCCTGGGGCAGACCATATCATAGAATTACAGTATAGAAAAGTGAGACACACTCTAGGGCTTCAACAGAATTACTCGCTGAGGTGACAAGGCCATCAAGTCCAACCCCCTGCTCAATGCAGGAATACAATCAAAGCATATCTGCCAGATGATTATCCAAGTTTTTCTTGAATGCCCCCAGTGTTGAAACACTCATCAACTCCTGAGGTAACTGGTTCCACTGTCATACTGCTCTAATAGATAACATTTGGGACAGACCCATGGTCATCATGTAGGACATGAAGTCCTGAGCCACTTCTGACAAAGCTGCCTGGGCATGGATGTTGAAGTCCCCTGGCACAACAATTTGAAACTACTCCAACCCGACCCACTAGACCAGCTCAGCTAGCTCAGGAAGGGAGACTGTTGAGCAGCGGGGTGGGCAGCATCCACATGGGACAACCTAAATGTATGTGCTTCCAGCTTGTAACCTCACTGCTTTCTCACTTGGATGCAGTCCACAATGCTGACAGGCACCTGTTTGTTATCAACGCTTCCTTTATCCCTTCTCCCATGCTGATTCGCTAGCCAGCACTGCAGGACTGTGACCGGGACTCACTCTACTACGATGAATGCAGCAAACCCAGAAAAGCTTAAGGGCTGGTAAGGGAGGCCCAGAAGAATGAACTCATTAAGGTAAAATGTGCCAGAGCAGTGCGGAGCCATGTACATCATAAAGGGAAAAGGGAAAATCAATGGCAGGCACTGGCTAGGTCCCGACGCCAGAAGTAATGTGAATGGCTGATTTAGGGAGCAGGAGCCTTTGGCAGCTGCAGAGCAGTAATTAGGTGTGTCAGGAAGACAGATAAGTGGAGCCAAGAGCAGGTCAATGGTGCAGGTGAGCGGTCTAGCCCAACTCAGGATGGATGCATGGGCGGTGGGGATACAGCCAGCACCCTTTTCTAAGCGGGTTGCCCCAGGACCCATAAATGGTGGTTTGCAGTAAAGGCATTTAGGTATGGTGGGGAAAAAAGCAATTGCTAATTCCAGAGACATCCCAATCTCCACAATTCTAGGCCACAAATCCAGCATGCAACCCAGACAGCAAGTGATAATGATTGGTATATGGCCAGAGATCATTAAGCTGCATTCCCCAATGATTCCCACATGTACCTGCGAAATCACCCAAGGAAAGAATTCTACTAGCTAGAGAGCAATTCTGTTCTGTCTCTATAAAGAAGGGATTAAACTCTGGGATGAGGCTTCTGGTATAGACCTTTGGGCTAGTGACACATCTTCTTTGTTCATAAGGCCTTAGCCCTGGAATTAAAGCACCTTCCCAAAGGAAAAAAATAGTTTGGAAAAGTTACTTTTTGGACTACAACTCCCAGAATACCTGCAGATTTGGGGAGTTGTGTTTTTTAAAAGTAGCTTTCCTGAACTTTGGGGAAGTATGATACCTGTATCCATAGATGATGGAAAAGAGTGGGAGAACATGAGGAAGGTGTTGGTGTTGGTGGTAATCAATACTTTCTACCTTGTTTATCCTAATCCTGTTTGCCTCAGGGAATGTCTCCTTGCCCCCATGGGCACGCATCCTTCCCAGGAGTTCCACAGTTCCCTGTGCTGCAGTCCTCCTGGCAACTAGAGATGTGGCAAAGCCCTGAGTCAGCAGCCATGTCCTTCTCCCTCCCCCCCCTCCCCTAAGCATCCCTGCTGCTGCCAGAGAATCGACAAAATCACTCAACTGGGAAATTAACTGTAGCCTTGGAACATCCCATCCTGGTAGCCAGTGAAGGTCAAAGAATAAGAATCAGTGGTTCAGGGCTAACTGGTAAAGAAGCCCCAAAGCAAACCAGGTGACAGTACAGAGCCTTTGCTGTTGGCGCATCATACAAGAAAGGAGCCCAAGAGGGGAGGCCATTGGTCATTCCCTCTGCTCTATGACCCTTTGTGCCTCACTCTCAGGCTTTTTGGCAGGGTATTGTAGGTGGCATACATAAATGCTGAGAACAACTTGATGTTGGTCAGATTGTTACAACAGGATGATTTTTCAGAGGGATAGCAGAGTTGCAGAAACCCTTTAAAAATCCAGTGTTTGCCCTTCAATGAATACATTTGAGCTGGTGGCTCAGACCTTTAAGTTTGATGACGATCTGGGAAATCTATGTCCCTGCAAATGTTGACTCCATTTGCCATCAATCCCAGATATCCTGGCCAATGCTGATGAATTATGGGAGTAGTCATTCATTAAAATCTCACAGCCCATGGGTTTTCAAACCCTGTTTTAATGGGTATTGTAAGATGGAAGTAAGGTTCACAGGGTAACATGTGAACAGTATGATATCTCAGTTTGGCTTTGGGTGGCAAGCTGAATGTTGGTGGCTTTGATACATACCAGAAAAGGCATTATTAGTGTTGAGAAAGTAGATCTCTTCCCGGCCATCTCCATCAATGTCACAGGCTGTCACACCAATTGCATTGCCTTGGCGATCCCGCAATGCATAGTAAGGGGAGCTACGCTCATTCACTGCAAGATTCACCAGCCGACCCCGCACTTTGTCATATTTCAGCACCAGATTGGGGCCATTATACCTGGAGGAGCAAAGACAAGGAAATATGTTATGGCATAGTTCAGGGCACCATTCCTTCCTATCATGTATTTTCCAGAGCTACCTTTTAAGGGCTGTAATCTCTAAACCTTTCCCAGACAGTATGGGGATTACAGAAACTGTGCCCCAAGAAAGTAACTTTATTAAATCCCGGTCTTTTCCACAAAAGTGCTCTCCTTCATTTCTACTTGTGTACATTTTTTAAATGAAGTAGCAAAGAGAATTTCCTCTATCTGTTGTTCTTGAAGTGGAGGGAGAGCTCTTAAACAGAAGGAAGTGCTTGAAGTCAAATAAGGAAGAAATATTTTGAGTACTTATACCTTCGCTGCATTTGTATTCTACTCTCACATCTTCATGTCTGAGTGGGAGCTGAACCTGCTATTTCACATTAAGCACTATAACTACAAAAAAAAAACATATATAGAAACATGGTATCATGGATTTTCTAAGTCAGACAGAGATTAAGATTGATTCCTACAATGGAACATGATCCCTAATATGAGTCAGAGAAGAGCTTACAGTGCCGCTTGTACATTCATCCTGTCTAACCCCCTGCAACCCCAATATTAAGAAGTCAGTTCTTGATAAGATGGCCACTGCTCCATTGCAAAAAAGAAGGACTGTCACCCAAAAGAAGGACATGGAAGACGAGGAACACCATGAAGATCAACATTCCTCACAAAAAAGAAGGACATTTTTATTTTAAATGTGCATGTGCTAATTTCAACTAATATATGCAAATATAAATCACAATTAGATATTATTACTAAAATTGAAGTGGAAATACATTACTGCTCACCATATAGTACAGGATTGTGATGGGGTAAACACTTTGGAGCAAAGGACTGAGATAAATATGGGGTGCAAATTAAATAAATAAAGCATAGTGTCTAATAATTCTCTGAAATACCCTGTGCCTTAATTTTTCAGCAGCTTATTGAAAATGAATATACATAGAAAGAAAATGAACAGAAATCACTGCATTTTTGTTGAAATATCTGGCTAGAAAACAACCAGTTAAGGAGAACGGTCTGACGGGTAGTTTCAAAAGATTCATACCTGGGCCTGACCACACACTTGATGTTCATCTAAGAGTAGACTTGCCATGCCATATCTTGCCTGCCATTCATCAACAGTTATATCAGTGTGTGTTATTTGCTTCTTCTTTTTACAAAATGACCCAACAACGAAAACATTTTACTTTAAAAAAAATGAGAGAGGATTGATTAGATACATTTACTATCAAAGCCTCTACTTTCCCTGTTCAGCCAGGGAAACTCATGGGTGTGTGTGTGTGTAGCGTGGTCACTTGCACATCACAAGAATGGAGGCTCTAGTTCTAGAAAACTAGATTAATCCCAGTCAAAACCTGGGAATGTTACTTTTTTGGACTTCAGCTATCCAGCTGAATTCTGGGAGCTGTAGTCCACAAGAGTTAACTTTTCCAAGCTCTAATCTCTCTCAAAACATCCCAAGGGACATTCCACAAAAACAGGATGCCTGATTATGAGAGTCAGGATTACATAAAGTATAGAGGAAGCTTTGTTTTGTTTTTCATTTCTGATCTGATCATAGGGAAATGTTGCAGACTTTGAAAGAAAAGAAACCTTTATCGTTTCAGGCAGCAAGCCAAACTGTAATTTTGAGTGTTTAGTCTAGCAGTATCTTAGCCTTTCACTTTGTTTCATTGTGCAACTTATACTAAATCTTCCTCCTCTATCCATCTTATTCTCAATAAACTTGATTCATTGGAACAGATATGGCTAAGGAATAAAGATTTGGAAGCAAGCTGGGAGGCAGACTTCTATTTCTAATTCTTTCCTTTCTCTCTGAAGGTCTCTGAAATAATGGAAAGAACAAATAGGGCTCCCCAGCTAGTAAAAGTCAATTGGTAAATATCTCAGTGATGTTGGTTTGTCACACTGATCATCTGTTGCCAAAGATCTAGGTGCCTGCAAGACTCAGATTCAAGTCTGCGGGATTGGTCTGGATCACTTGGAGTTGGCAGTGAAAGTGAGTGGCAGGTCCTTTTAGTACAGGGATGGCAAAGGTTTAGATCTTTCGGGGTATCAGGACAAGGGTACTGCCTTACTCAGCATCTGCTCCTTTTACAAATAACTAATTACTTCCTTTCAACTAAGGCCTTCAAGCATCAAAGTTACCGAATTCTGATTGCTTGATCAAGAGATTATCTTTTAAACATCAATCCATGTTAACATTTACACAATGCAAAATTGCAGAAATGCCTGAGCAGTTTCATCTGGCAGCTAATGATGTGTGACTCTAACATGGCTTGCATGGGGTTTGCTAAGAATGAAAATACATAGTTTAGAGGAAAAATTAATACAGTAGAGGAGAACAAGGTCAGGAAGGGAGGTCCTTGGAGCTAAGAATAATTACAAAACTTAATCAAACCTTGAGGACAATATTAAAAAATCAAAGAGAAAAAATGGTACTCAAGGTAATGCATCTGTATCCAAATAGAATCAGAAGTGAGGTCTGATCAGAGTTTTGAAAAGTGACCTTTTTGGGTGATACATCCCAAAATCCTATAGATAACATGGCTATACTGGCTGGGGATTCAAGGAGACATCCTTCAAAAAACATAACTTCATAGCTTTGAAATACTGTGACAGGATTTGTTCAAATCCCAGAAAGACTGATAGAATGTGGATTTTGAAAACCTTATGATTTACACAATGGGGCAACTACCCACCCATCATGATAGCCTGACCATGTCAAGTGTTCACAGCACTGTGACTGTCAGATTTGCCCACTTCCTCATCTATAATCACAGCACAACGGAGGTAAATGTTCCTTTGCATGGGTTAACAATTTTATAGAGTCTTATTTCTGTACTGTGTTTTTGTGGTTTTGTGGAAATGCACCACATTAAAAAAAACACAGTACCAGCAAGGCTGAAGTAGAGGTCATGTTTGGAAAGCCTGCTGCTCCTGATCCAGAGTTTCCAGATCTGAGCAGGTAGTTTGCTGGAGAAGATGCTTTGTTCTCTTTTCTTATGAGCCAGACTTGGATTCCAAAAAATCCTGAAAGCAGATTAACATGCTCTTAAAGTACCTTCAAGACTAACAGGCTTTACCTGCCATAAGCTTTTTTAGACTGAAGGAGGGGGGGGGCTGCAGTCCACAAAAGCTGATGTCAAATAAGTCTTCAAGGCACAACAAGGCACTTTGTTGGTTTTGTTGTGACAAATTAACTATCGGTGGCCTCTCTGGAAAAAGTAGATCAAAGCCATGAAGTCTGACCAGGGAGCTCAGCATGTGGATGTTGCTGCTTTGGCTTGCATGGTTCCAGAGTTTCTTTTAAGGAGGACAAGAGCATTTCTCTTGGCTAAGGGCTTTTCCAACAGGGCTGAGACAAGGCTTTTTCTGCTGCCCAGATAAATGTGCCAATTCTAGAGATAAAGTTAGTGCCTGCAGCTTTAAGAGCTCCAGGGCACCGAAACAGTATCGAAAGAGTAGATTGTTTTATTCCTAATGCTAGTCAAGTTAGAGCCGAGGACTGCAGGCTGCTGCATACTTTTCCATGCTGCTCTTGGCTCTTATAACTACAGTTCAGAGTTTGGCAAAGTCATTTTTATCACTACTCCCAGAATTCCTGGTCAACATGGCCATCCTGACTGGGGATTCTGGGGGGTAAGAGTCCGTAAAATAACTTTCCCATGCTGTATTATCATTATAGTCTGCATCAAAGCAAGTGACCCTGAGCTGCAACAGCATTCCTTGTACAATATAGGTGCATGTATTTTGAGAATATGTAAAGGTGTTCTTTCTCCCCCTTTCCTCAATTATGGAACTTTTCTAATGTTCCTAATACATAAGAGCTTATAGCACTGCTTTTCATCTTAGGGCGCTCTGCTTGACTTGACTCAGCAAGAGCCATGCCCTGGCTTTTGATAAACAAGTTACACAAGCATCAGTCCTACAGTTATGAAACATCCCGTCTCTGTTTGTAGTTATAACTTGGCATGGAAGTGAGGCAGAAAATTGCCTGGACTGCCCCCCCCTCCCATTCCAGTGGAGTGGTTATCTCCAAGCTACCAAGAAAATTTCCACAGTTTTCCCCCACCAACCTGGCCCTTCAGATGTCCAGTCTCAGGCCAGAAGGGTCAATGGCTTGTGTGTGTGTCTTGGGATTAGGAGCTAAATATTCTAGTGTTGCATGGTTCATGTCTTCATTGTGTGTTGGAAAACCGCATGTGTGTTGGAAAAACACATGTAGCATTGTTATAGCGGCTTTAAGCATGAATACTACAGGAGTTTATTTATTTATTTATTTGATTTATATCCCGCCCATCTGGTCTGGTCGACCAGTTGGGAATGGTGTCTTAGCCTAGGACTCAGGAGACCTGAGTGTAAATCCCCACATGGCCACTGAAACATACTGGGGGGTAAACCATTTCTTGAACCTTTCACATGCCTTGAAAACCCTATTAAGGTTGTTGTAAGTCAGAAGTAACTTGATGGCTCCGAACAACAATAACTATAGAAATAATTTTGCAAGACTGGTGGGTGCAAGAAAGTCACTATGGAAGAGCTTGGAAAAGTTGTTTTTGTGCAACAGCTCCTAAGGTTTTCCAGACACTATGGCCTAAGCTGTGCTAAGTGAGGGATTCTGGAAATCATAGTCCAAAAAGTGTGACTTTTCCAAAGTCTGGGCTGCAGTTATTGTGGGTCCCAAACTATATCTGAACTGTTGTTATCACGTGCCTTCAAGTCAGAACAGACTTATAGTGATCCTAATAGGGCTTTCAAGGTAAGTGAGAAATTTGAGGAGTGGTTTTACCAATTCTATGAGTTCCAAGGGCTGGGTAAGGATTCAAACTCAAGCCTCCGGAGTCCTGTTCCATCGCTCTGTCCACTACACTGGGTATCTAAATGTGACTTTGGAGTGTGGAAAAGGCAGACAATATGATTCTGAGGCTGCCGTAGCTGAAACAAAAGTTCTAGGAAACAGGACCCA